TCTGTGTGAGCCTAAAATTATGGAACAGGAGCATAACGGACAGATGTTGTGTTTTGTTGTAATATTGGGCATTGTTTCTGCAGAGGTTGAAGACATTTTAAAAGAAGGGATCGGGTCAGTCTTCATGCTCTGGATACTGAGTCCTGACCAGGAGAGGGCTTCATGAATCTGTATCAGTCAGTTGTTCGGTAAATTCAATGTGGCTGCAGGAAATAAAGCTTTAATCAGAACATAGAACTACATAATCCAAACATAATGTTTCCCAGCATCTCTGCTGTCTTTCAGCTGATCTGAAAATGTTCTACAGGAAATGTTGGAGAGTTTTGTTGAACTTTTTAGCTGGAAAACATTGAAGATCAAAAAGTCTGAGAGTCTGCACTCTGTCAGCAGCTTCACCTCTTTGTGAGTCTGATAGAGGCTGAGACCAGCGAGGATCTGATTGTTTTCTGCTGCATTAATTGATCTTATTTTACTTTAATGCAATTATTCTGCATGTTTTTAGGAACCCCAACAGCATTAAAGCAGATGGTCTCAGCAGTGAATTAGTTATTACTGAGAAATGTTTTGAGAGTTCAAAAGTGAATATTTGAAGGATCATTCCGCAGCTAATGCTTCAGCAAGAACAATGTCTCTGGAACTGAATATCTGATTCTTCTCTCAGCAGGTCATGCTCAGCTGTTTGTATGTTTGAATTTGTCAATTTTCACAAGATTTCTATAATAATCTAAAATAACAGCCCATCTTTAGCTGCAGAGCTGCAGCAGCAATAACAGCTTCTTTTTGACCCTGAACTCCCCAGAGGACTGCTACTCCATCTGGACTCTGATGAAATCCCTGCTTTGTGTTTCATCCATCTTCTAAAATTTGATATTCATATTATAAAGTAGAAGCAGTCCTGTTAAAAAAGCGGGTCACTGTTTCATAAGCTGCAGACGTATTGTTCATAGTTTGATCTAGATCATCGGTCCATATATAGACTTTTTCAACCATTGCTTCCTAACCTTTTTTCCTCACATAAAAAAGAAAACCAGCAGACGGAGTATGATGGTCTCATTCAGCCAAATAACTGCACATAAAAGTTGATGAGAAAAATCCCCTCAGAGTCTTTAAGACGGTGTCCAGCTGCGACTCAGGAAGTGACACAGTTGACTTTTTGTTTAAGATTTCTCCATGTTTTATCCAGTTGTCATGGTGTATTTTCTGAATGATGTTTTTTATGATACCTGCCTTCGGACAACGGATGAAATTAAGCAACTGTTGTAACTCCGGCATTTTAACTTTGATGCATTTTTCTGGTATGTTGATCAATGTGCATTGTCCTAATTATATAAATAAAATGAACAGTTTTTACTAACAGAAGGAACAAAAATGTGGTCTCACCCATGACACAATATTCATCAGCTCTGTGAATGCTCTTGGTGCAGACAAAGCCTCAGGTCTTCCTTAAGATCTCGGGTGCCTTCCCTGGGGGGCTCAGACCTCAGGTTGGGAACCGACATTTCAAATACTGCAGCAGTCAGGCTTTTGGACCGATCAGAGACCCAGCATCAGGACTCTGAAATAACCTGCTGTAGTTTTGAAAACCATTTTTAAAGTTTCATCCAGTTCAGATCTCTGAGTTTGAACCCCTCACTCCACCAAACCACCTCTTAGGTGGTCCAATAGGATTGTCCTCCCAACAGCAACTTAGAGTCTTCAACATGAAGGGGACTTATTATTTTTCCATTCTGGCTCTCAGACTCTTAAAATTTACGGAGGTCTCCTTTAAATCTGACCACTCTGCTTTAAAACTATCGATTTATAAGGAGCCACTGTGTTCAAACTTGTCTGTCAGTCTGTCCTGCACTTTGTATTTATATACACTGTGTGCACAATTATTAGGCAAGTTGTATTTTTGAGGATAAATTTTATTTTTTAACAACTACAGTGCTCTCGGTCAATCCAAAATGTTAATAAACCTCAAACCTTAATATTTAAGGGAGTAAAAGTGAGATTTTGGCTTCCTTAGGAGAATATCTATGTGTGCACAATTATTGGGGGCAGCTATTAGTGTGCAGAATTATTATGCAACTAAATTAAAAATGAAAAATTTTCCATCTCACTTGTTTATTTTCACTTGTTAAAGTGAGAATGATAAACAAACAACTCAATTTACAAATAAAACTTGTTGAAATTAAAAAAAAAAAAATCAGTGACCAATACAGCCACCCTTCTTTTCAATAACAGTCATAAGCCTTTCATTCATGGAGTCTCTCAGTTTCTTGATCTGTTGACGATCAACTTTTTGTGTTGCAGCAACCAAAGCCTACCAGACACTGTTCAGAGAGGTGTACTGTCTTCCTTCACTGTAAATTTCCCATTTAAGAAGGCCCAAAAGTTCTCAACAGGGTTTAGGTCAGGTGAAGAAGGAGGCCACGTCGTTATTCTTTCATTTTTAAGGCCTTTACTGGCGAGCCACATAGTGGAGTACTTTGTTGCATGCAATGGAACATTGTCCTGCATAAAAATCATGGTTTTCTTGAAAGATGCAGACTTTTGCCTGTACCACTGCTTGAAGAAAGTGTCTTCTCAAAACTGGCATTGGATTTGGGAGTTGATTTTAAGTCCATCTTCAACTCGAAAAGGTCCAGCTAGCTCATCTTTAATAATACCAGCCCATACCAGTACCCCGCCTCCACCTTGCTGGTGTCTGATTCGAAGTGGAGCTCTGTGCCCATTACTGATCCAGCCACGGGTCCATCCATCTGGTCCGTCAAGAGTCACTCTCATCCCATCAGTCCATAAAACCTTTGAAAAATCTCTCTTCAGATATTTCTTGGCCCAGTCTTGACCTTTCAACTTGTGTCTTGTTCAGTGGTGGTCAGATTTCAGCCTTCCTGACTTTGGCCATGTCTCTGAGCACTGATCATCTTGTACTTCTGGGCACTCCAGGTAGGTTGCAGTTCTGGAATATGACAGCACCGGAGGATAAGCGGTTCCTGGTAGCTTTACGTTTCAGTCTTCTCAAATCTTTGGCAGTAAATTTGCGTCTTTTTTTCTTAACACATTTCTTGCGACCCTGTTGACTATTTGCATCAAAATGTTTGCTGATTCTGTGATCACACCCAAATATCTAAGCAATTTCAAGAGTGCTGCATCTCTCTGAAAGACTTTTTACAATTTTTGACTTTTCAAAGTCATTTAAATATCTTTTTTGGCCCATTTTACCTGAGGAAAAGAAGCTGCCTAATAATTATGCACACCTTGATATAGGGTTTTGATCACTTAGGCCCCAGCCTCCCTCATTACACTAATACACATTACCTGATATGCTTAAATCCAATAAGCATTCAAGTTTATACAGCTTGGAGTTGGAAAATATGCGTAAAAATGATGATATGATGAAAATACTCACTTGCCTAATAATTGTGAACACAGTGTATGACCTTCAGCTCCTCCTGCTTCAGTCTGTGATCCTCGCTTCAGTTCTTACCTTGACTCATTTTTTCAGCCTCTTTGTTTCTATGTCAGTGATGTAAAACACTTTTTACCCTGTGTTATAGTAATGATAAATTTAAATAATAATAATAATAATAATAATAATAATAATAATAATAATAATAATAATGATAATAATTATTATTATTATTATTATTGTTGTTATTGTTATTATTATTATTATTATTATTATTAGTAGTAGTAGTAGTAGTAGTAGTAGTAGTAGTAGTAGTAGTAGTAGTAGTAGTAGCAGTAGAAGTAGTTGTAGTAGTAGCAGTATTGCTAATAATGTTATTGGCCCTCTGAGATTTTAATTATCCTCAAACTAGAAAAAAGAAAGCTTTAATGAAGTGTTTTTTTACTGTCAATCATATCCCTCAAGTTATCACAGATAGTCTCTGTCTGCAGAGACATGAAAACCTGCAGGTCCAAAACTAACTGTGGTGCTCCTGAACTAGCACTGCACTGAGGGATCTTTGTCTTAGTATCATTATTATTATTATTATTATTATTATTATTATTATTATTATTATTATTATTATTATTATTATGATTATTTATCTATTATTTTAGCAGATTGATTTATCTGCTTTGGTATTCAGTCATTGTTTTCTGCAGACGGTTGTAAAAACTTCCCTTAAGCAAAAGATACGTGAGAATCGTGGTTTTAAAATCAAAAGTTTAGTTTCTGGTGGAGATCTGGGATCTCATTGCTGAGCTTTCATTAAAACAACATTTTTTTCTGGCTTTCATTTGTTCTGTAAATCTATATACCACAAACTGCAGATATTATTGAAAGTATGTTAGAAACAGTCCTTCGGTGGATGTAAAGGATTTTAGCTCCAAACTCTAAGCTCATCAGTAAAACAGCAACACACCGGCATGAACTTTACAGAGTCCCAAAGGAAGGAGGACTAGGAGATGCTGAGTCCGTCTACATCTAAACCTGATCGAGAACATCAGAGAGTCTTGAAGCCTGAAAAGTCTCAAACTACGCTCATTAAAATATCATCAGACTCACTTAAAACTTGAATTCACCGAAAATTCGGTGAAAATGCTTTATATCAAAACGATTTAAGCCATTTATTAATTTCCCCAACGCTGCATGCCTAAAACATTTACTTTCAGATTTTTTTTTTCCAGTTTATCGTCACAGGTGCCAGAAAAGGGACGTAATTTCATAGAAAAGACCTTATTTAAATATCACAAAAGTACCCTATATACTCGGTTGTATTTTCCGCTCCTGTAGCTGCAGTGACGAAGATTACATGAGTTTTGAGCAGATTTCGATTGTAAACAGTTCTCTTAGACACAGTGAAGCCGGTTAAATCCTCCTTATTTCCCTCTTCTGGTGTGAACTTTGCGCACGCGGCCTCTGTCTACTCTCTCTACCAAACCTATCTCTCCTCCTCTGGCTCGGCCGCTCTCTCTATACGCACCGAGATGACACCTGGCATTTTGAATTCAGGTGACACGCGGACCTTAAACTTTCTGAAAGCCGGTTAAAAAAATCAGACAAAGTGTAGGAGATGTTTGATTTATATTTTAATGTATATAATTTCTCACTTTAGGTAGGTTTGCCTTTTTTGCCAATAAATGTCACAAAGGTCGCGCGCAGCCTCTCCAGGTTTGTACCTGCTGCCGCAGAGCGACAGACTTAACCAAGTTACACCGAGAAAAACAGGCAGAATTACAACATTGAATATCCATCAAAGTGTCACAGAAACATCAGGATATATTCAGACAGATGGTCGGAGCCGCCGGCCCGCGTCACTTCACAGAGTTAAATAAAATATAAATAGCGCACACACTGCAGACTGAGAATAAAATGTAGATATGTACAACTGTGCAACTTCACACCACCAGCATGTCGGGAGTCCACTCTACTCTATGTACACACCAAGCCATGTGACCTGTGTTTATCAGCTGTCCGAGTCGACGTCGCTTTTGCTCGGGTTGCTTTTCTCCACGGATGGTTTGGCGACTTTGTTCCATTTCTGCGAGTTCTCGGACTCCTCCGAAGAAGAGCGCTTCTGCCTCCTCCACTTCGCGCGTCTGTTTTTGAACCAAACCTACGTGACAGAAGAGAACAGTTTTAAACCCGGGAGCACACGCCCTCAGTGTCTAACTCATATTTTCATTTCAATGTTTTAACCACAGTCTTTAAGTCAGAGGCCTGTTTTTTTTTTTTTTTTTTTTTGTTTGTTGTTTTTTTTTTTTTACCCTCGCATCGTTTTGGTGAATTTATTGAAAAACTCAACCTGTTAAAAAATGCTTCTCTGCCCGATGTATAAAAGAATCCCCAACATAAGTTCATATTTATTTTTCTCTTTGCAGAATTTATCGAATTTCAGCTCATTTTATTGTTTTTATTCGAAACATCGTGGATTGCTGCGGTCTCATTTTGCGCTTTTTCCCGTTGAGGAGGTATAGTGTCTTTAATCACGCGCCAAAATACAACTTTCATTATTATTATTATTATTATTATTATTATTATTATTATTATTATTATTATTATTACACTGTTATTCTAGTTATTGTAGTTTTCTACCTATTTTGGATGAATTTAAAGAAATGTGTAAGTTTGTATTCTTTAATTTGAGATTAGTTTAAAAGGATGATCAAATTTGGAGGATAAATATCCGTAAATTCAGAAACTTCCCAGTTGAATTTGCTGTTTGTGTGATTTTCTCAGCGCCGCAAATTTGACAATAAACCAAACTGTGAAGTCCAAACTCTGCAGATGAAATACTATTGAAAAGAAAAGGAGAGGTAAGGAAAATCACTGAACGCCACTCTGACCTCGACCTTCTCCTCCCGGAGGTGGACCTTACGGGCCAGCTGCTCCCGCGTACCGACGTCCGGGTATTTGGTCTCCTGGAAGAGGCCCTCCAGAGCCTCCAGCTGTTCGTCGGTGAAGATGGTGCGGTGCCTCCGCTTCCTCCGGCAGTGCAGCTGGTTGAGCAGCTGCAGCTCGGTCCGCGACAGGCTACCCATGTTCATGTAGGACATCATCTGATGCGGGACCGGCGAGAGCAGCACCGAGCCCGGGCTATCATACCCTGCGTCACGGGGAGGGAGACACATGACACACGAATGAGTTGGAACAATTAGAGTGTCACAGTTAGGATCGACATACAAACACAGCTCAGGAGTTACGACGAGGCTGACATGAAATTTAGGCTCTGGCTGTTTACATGCAGATTACAACTGCTGCGTAAAGCGTCGCACTCAGAGAATTGATGTGTCTTGTGAATAACCAAGCTCATACGTAAAAACGACAAATTGTTTAAACGTGGAGAAACCACAGAGACTAGCCTATTTACACATTTGAAGTGACATTAATCAGGAACATTAAACCTAGAGCAGCGGTGCTGAGATCAGCCGATGCACAAGAGTATAAATATCACATCTGAATATTTTCAGTTCTCCTGTGGGGACCTGTGGGCCAAAATCTCCGATTTCAATTCCGTGTGTAAAACAGCGATTTTCATTTGGTGCTTTAGATTAAGAAGTCTCCACATATCAGTCTGTAAAATAAAATTTAAAAAACATAATTAATAGGAAACAATTTAAAAAAATATGAAGCACGGCTTTTCAGATTAACTGTCATCTATCTATCTATGATGTCTTTAAATGAGGCAGGACTTTCTAAATGAAGCGAAATTCAGCCCAGACTGGATTTAAAATCTATAGGGAAATTTCTTGTATTGGAACTAATTACGCGGACAGGATTCCGTGTTGATTTGTGGAGAGAGGTTTTGGTTCCGCTCTTACATGTAAAGTTTAAATCTTTGGGACAGACAAGGACTTCACTGTTCCTACCTGCCGGGAAACAGGGGCACTGCTGCGGGCTGAGGCCAGGCACAGAGCCGCAGCACGGCGGACCTCCTCCGGGGCCCTGGACGTGCAGCTGTCCGTAGTAGTAGCCGTTATATCCAATTCTGGTCCCGTTCACAGACTGGATCCCAGGAGGAGAGGGCCCGCACGTGGCCGAGTAGAGTCCGTTGTAGTCTGTGTAGATAGAGTCCGTGAGGCCGGCAGACAGAACCACCGGGCCGCTTCGGTGCAAAAGCAGTGGTTCCTTGCAGCTCGGACGGCCGGACAGGATGCTGTCGATGCTGAACATCCCCGCGGGCATCACACCGGTGCGCGGAGGCTTTTGGGCGAAGAGGAGGTCGGAGAGAAAGTTTGAGGTGTTTGGTTAAAAGAGATGTCAGAGTTCCTCTAAAAGCGCACCATGGTCACTCTGGAGCTGCTCTTCTCTGTTTTCCGCCCCTTTTGCGCGGCTCCGCGGGCACAGCTCTCGTGGATGCGGACTGGATGTTTCAGAAAGGCCAGTTGGGAGTGGGCTGGTTTTATAGGCTGCTGACGTCACCGCGGCGCGGAGCTGCTCTGGGATCGGCAGCTGAGGCGCGCTGTGCGGTGTGAACGGACCCCGATCTGTGTATTGAGAATTAATTGAATTAAGATAATCCGCACTGTGTGGTAGGCTGTAGGCAACTGTGTTGCTGCTGCCGACTACACTGTAATCCGATTATTCCTCTGTCAGTAATGGCATCTTGATGTGAGGGACACATTAACACACATTAAATGACTATCAGGGTTTACAGAGAGGGCGGGACAGTCGGCCTTTTTATCATTCAAACTCACAGACAAAAAGAGAGTCACCAGAGAAATATAGGACTGAAGTCAAAGTAGGCCACACAAATACTTGACTGCAATAGTACTATCAAAGTGAGAATAATGAACAGAGGAAACATGACTTTAAGTTACTTAAAAATAAACACGTGGGGACATATTTGTTATTTTCTTTAATGTGTGACTTTATGACAGGAGTTCTGCTCAGAAGGTTTTCCCCGATGTAAATCCCCAATAAATCTGAATGATACTGACTGACGGAAAATTCGAACCTCCGGGTTTTTTGGAGTAGCGCATTAACATTTCTCCGGGGGTGAGGGTGGGGATGATGATCCCTGAAATCGTATTTTTAAAACAACAGTTTTATAATGAAACTGACTCTGCATTCACCCACGGAAAAGTTTTTTGATATTTTTTCTGATTTCATTCTCAGTGTTGCTCTTAGTGGCTTTCAGCGCTCTGAACTCGTCTTTGTCTGTTCAGGCAAGATTTTTTTAACGAGCCAAAAAACACAAAAAAATGCTTTTTTGATTTGGCGCGTGAAATGGTAGCAAATGAAAGCGGGATTTCCTTCAGAAATACTCATTTGAAGGGAAATGATGAGAAATTTTGCTCTTGAATGTTTTTCAGTGAGGTTGGTTTTCGGGCCTGTCAGGTAAAGGTAGCTTATTTTAAGAGTAATCAGAAACTCTGACTCTGACTTAAAATCAGACACATTCACTCGCTAAGGAGACATCATCCAATCAGCTGCTATTATAAAGATGTAAAAGTAAAGTTTGCATTTTCTTTTCTTCAGTAATTGATTCTGTGTAAAAGCATAGAAGTACATATCTGTCCACTGAAGCGAAGAAACCGCAGCTGCTGGAGTCATGTGCATAAATGTGATCAGTTACTGACTTTCTGATGGTAAATAAAAGCAGTTACATTTTCAGGATATTTCTTTTGACCAGAGGAGCGCTGAGAGTAAAATGTGAAAATGTCAAAAGAACTACATATGAAAGAAATAAGATTTAATTTAAATTTGAAGCAGTGTAAATCTCAGCTCCATAGAAACATACTGGAGTTACATACAATAATGAAGTGGTGTTTTTTATGTGGTTGTGAAGGAGAGTTACTGTATAAACAAGGAAGATTCATTTCTTTGAGTTTTCATGAAGACAGATTCCGATTTTAAATAGTGCCACAATGAAAACACAAACATGCGTTTTTAGAGACTTTGAACAACAGAGAGGAAATCCAGCAGATTAAAGCAAAAAGAACATACTCACACAAACACACAAACAAACAAACAAACAAACAGTCGGTCCTGTGAAACAGAGAGACATATGGAATTTAAGCCAATTTCAAGGGGGGAAAAGTAAAAATTGTGCAGCTTATGTAATAATAATAATAATACTACTAATAATAATAATAATACTAATAATAATAATAATAATAATAATAATAACTATTATTATTATTGTTATTGTTGTTGTTGTTGTTATTATCTTAGTTAGCAGGATCGGAGCAGATCAGATTTCTTGTAAATATGATAAAACGCCCCCTGACCCTCAGCATCGTTAGGAGAATAAATGTTGAATCAGACAGATGATGGCCGGTGATTGCTTGTGTCTTTGCTGCGAAACATGATGATCATGACAAACTGAAAATCAAACATATTTACTTGTCCGACTTGATCTGAGCTTTATCTTATTACCCGGGCTCCTTTTCTCCTCTCCTCTCCTGTCTCCGCGGGGAGCAGATTTTCCCCCCTCTCAGCAGGTCACATCGTCCGAACATTTCCCCCTAACCGAGATAAGAAAACGGCCCATTATCGCTTCCATTCAGCCCGTAAAGAGGAAACTTATGGGTTGTTTACACCGCTAATCAACAAGGCCTGAGTGGGTGAGAAGGGGCTGCTGTGGAGGAACGTGGATTCAGCCGAGATCCTAATGGGACTCACTGATTGCATTTAGATCAGACTGGGGTCTTAACACATGCTCTTGTCAGGCTGTAGATAAGTGTGTGGTCTGCGCTAATGCTCCATCAAACATAGGGACAGGAATAACCCGGTGTGTGTGTGTGTGTGTGTGTGTGTGTGTGTGTGTGTGTGTGTGTGTGTGTGCGTGCGTGCGTGCGTGCGTGCGTGCGTTCTGAAGGTGATTATCTCAAAATGCGGATGACAATTCTGCGATTAAATAAAAAAGAATATTTCACTCTTCTACACAGAAAAATGAGCGTGAACAGTTGAATTTGACGGATTTCTGCCGATTCTCTATTATTTCAGGGAAACTGTTCTCATCGTGGAACCATTTTTGTTCTACTTTCTTAAATGAGGGAGAATAAAATTAGAAAAAATGAAAATGAACAAAATAAACACCGATGTTTTCCAGCAATTCATACAATGTTTTCCTAAATCAATGTATGGCCGTAACGGCGATGGAATTCGTGCGCATGAGCACGAGACCCTTAACTGTGACGTCTTAATTTTTTTGTTGGAACAAAGATTTTCTTTCACCGCTTTAACAGAGTATCGTAATACAAAAATGTGATATTTATTACTTTCCTTTTCGTTATAATTTTTGACAGTATATAAGAATACATTAATTATTATGCTGTATTTATGCCTTTTTGTTTGTTTTTTATTTGTTTTAATGTCATTTAGCAAACACTTTAACCCAAAGTGACATACAATTGACGTAAATATAATTAACAGAAAAAATGTACATCCTGTTCAGGACTGACTGTGTTTATATATACGTTTTTAAATAGAGATGCACTTCTGGTCAAAAGTTTTAGAACGCCCCAACCTTTCCAAGGGTTGAGTGAAAATGATGTAGTTTAATGACTCAGTGTACTCCGAAATTATAGAACAAATAAACAATTGAAGTTAAAAACGAAATGAAAATGTATTCTAAACTTTGGACCAATCAAAGTAGCCACCTTTGGCAGATATTACAGCTGAACACACTTGTGACATTCTTTCTACAGTGGAAATCAAATATTCTTCAGAAAGTTCTTCCCAACTCTGTTGCAGAAGTTTCCATAAATGTGTAGCACTTGTACGTTGCTTTGCTGTCACTCCTCTGTCCAGTTCATCCCAAACCAGCTCGATGGGGTTGAAGTCTGGAGACTGTGCTGGCCACTCCATGTTTTCAAGCTTACCAGAACTAAGATAGTTCTTGCATAGCTCGAACTTGTGTTTTGGGTCATTATTTAACTGTAGAATGAACCCCTGACCAACTAGGCGCATCCCAGAGGGTACTGCATGGCACTGCAGAATGCTGTAGTAGCTATTTTGGTTCAGGCTGCCTTTTAGTCAAGTCACTGACCCTGGATCCAGCAAAACAGCCCCAGACCATCATACTCCCTTATCAGAAATCATTCATGCACAGTTACTTTTTTATTTTATAAAAAGTACAAAATTACAAAAATAAAAATCATCATTTTGGCATTTGCAAATGTCAGGGCACCCTTCAGCATCAGTACCTTCAGTACTTAGTAAGACCCCCTCTGGCAGATATCACAGCTTGTAAACGCTTTTTATAGCCAACTACAAGTCTCTGGATTCTATCCTTTGGGATTTTCCCCCATTCTTCCTTGCAAAAGGCTTCCAGTTCTGCAATATTCTTGGGTCTTCTTGCATGCACAGCTCTTTTAAGAACAACCCACAGATTTTCAATGATGTTTAAGTCTGGAGACTGTGAAGGCCATTCCAAAACCTTCAGCTTGCGTTTCTTGAGGTAGTCCATGATGGATTAAGAGGTATGTTTAGGATCATTATCCTGCTGTAGAAACAATCCTCTTTTCAGCTTCAGCTTTTTTACAGATGCTGTGAAATTTGCCTCCAGAATTTGCTGGTATTTAATGGAATCCATTCTTCCTTCCACTCGAGCAATGTTTTCTGTCCCATTGTCTGCAACACAACCCCAAAGCATGATGGATCCACCCCAATATTTCACAGTTGGCAATGTGTTATTTTCCTGAAAAGCTGTTCCTTTTTTCCTCCAAACAAACCTTTGCTTATTGTGGCCAAAGAGTTCTATTTTAACTTCATCAGTCCACAGCACTTGTTTCCAGAAGTCATCAGGCTTCTCTAGATGTTCTGTTGCATATTTTTGTCATTGTATTTTATGATGAGGACGCAGGAAAGGTTTTTTTCTGCAGACTCTTCCATGAAGGTCTTGTTTGTTCAAACATTGCTGCACAGTGGAAGGGTGCACCACCACTCCTGCATCTGCTAAATAAACTCTCAGGTCTTTTGAAGTCAAATGTGGGTTTTGATTTACTTTCCTGACCATCAAACAAGCTGTTCTCTCTGAGATTTTACTTGGTCTTCCAGGTCTCATCTTGACCTCCACAGTTCCCCTCACCTGTCATCTTAATTATACCTCGCACTGTGGAAACGGTGGTTTTATTTTTTGGTCTTTAACAACAACAAATGAAGAAGATACAAAATTCCAAACTTGACCAAAAAAAGGATTAGGACAAGCACAATGCTTATGATTGCCTATCCTTTACAGTCCTTAAAACATCATTTTAATGGTTTAAAACAACAGATAATACTTTCATATTAAAAAGAAAAAACTAAAAATGAAATGCTCCAGTACAAAAAAATGACAAAACAACCTGATAGAAGTTGCATCTGTACCCATCAAACATGCTCCGATTTGAAGTCATATGTACTTGTTTGCATAGTTCCTCTTTTTCAGAGATTAATAAGGTATCCTTTTAATATGTTACTCTTATAAATCTTTTTAAGCATAGGTAAGGTTTTGCAGTTTTTCAGTTCTTCACTGCTAATGTTCCATAATTCCATATCTCTAACTGTTACACAGTGAAACTTTAATTTTATTCTTACCAGATGTCTTTTAAACATAAATGTTCCTCTAAGATAAAGCTCTCAGGGTGCCCTGACATTTGCACATGCCAAAAAGATTATTTTTATTTTTGTAATTTTGTACTTTTTATAAAATAAAAAGTAACTGTGCATAAATGATTTCTGATAATATTGTCTTTTTTTCCTATTTACCATAGAGACTATAAATATCAAGGTTAATTTTTTAATAAATAAACTATCCTTTTTTTAAAAAGGGTGCCCTCACAACTGTACACACACACACACACACACACACACATATATATATATATATATATATATATATATATATATATGTATACATATATATGTGTGTGTGTGTGTGTGTGTGTGTGTGTGTGTGTGTGTGTGTGTGTGTGTGTGTGTGTGTGTGTGTTTTGTACAGCTGCTGTCTTATGTGGGCCGAGTGAGATGCTGAAACAGCTTGCAGACATGGAGTTTATCTGTGTCCATGAAGGACCATGAAACAAAACTGCTCTGTTCTCCAATGATCTCTTTTAGCAGAAGAAAGACTCTAAAAGAATGGGGAAAATCATTTTGTCTTTGTTGAACCTGGAACTTCAGGACTGCCTCTTTAATCTGGTTTGTGGATTTGTTACCTCAGCCTCCTAAAGTTTTATTTCATTCTCAAATGTTGACTCTTGCTCGGCTCATTAGAAAATTTTTCAGCAAGACAAAGACACAGAAATGTTTCAATAATTGAGAGCCAGGCAGCTCTCTTTCCCCCCAGAGCAGCTCCACAGACTAACACACTGATTTGTGTTTAATCCACAGTTAGACTTCAGATTTCTGTCTATAGGCTTTCAGAGTAAACTCATCTCAGCCTTATTCTATACACGTTTCTCATAATAGGAAAAGCAAACGAGGATTTTTAGCTTTAAAATGAGATTGAAATTTTATTCCCCCTCTACATCCCAGCTCCAATAATCTGCAGGTGGATATGTTTAAAATGTGACACATGCTTGTTGTGTGTGTAATAGCACATAAGGATGAGTTTGGCCCGTCTCCTGCATGACAGCAGCTCTGCTTTTCTGGCCTTTTGATATGGAAACATGTTGTTGTTGCTGAAAAGCTTTTTCTGTAATACAGTCGCTCTGTGATTCCAGCCGAGTGCAGGGAGAGAGAGAGAGAGAGAGAGAGAGAGAGAGAGAGAGAGAGAGAGAGAGAGAGAGAGAGAGAGAGAAACATTAAGGGCCATGCTGTTATTATTTTCACATTTATTTCTATATTTCTACTTCCCGGTGGCAGTGAAAGGAGCCAGTGAAAGGGATTGCTTTAAAGCCAAACATCCATTTGAAAATAAAAGCTGAGGAGCTGCAGTGAAGGCAGCACTTATAGGTGAATAGAAGCGTCAATCAGGCTGCAGATGGAGGCTGAAGACTCACACCGCTACAAAAGAAGATGCATCTTTATATATCAGAGCCCTGATCTGTAAAACCTGGTTAAACACAGCAAATAAAACACCCATGCCTGGTAATGCATCCGCTCGACACGGGATAAATACAGAGGGAGAGCTGGCCGAGCTTTTACATCAGACTGCAGGAGAACAGAGCGTCTGGAGAATTTACATAATCACAACTGCAGGAACGACCCTTAAGATGGATGGATGGATGGATGGAAGGATGAATAAATGGATGGATGGAGAGTGGGATGGGAGGATGGAGGGAGGATGGAGAGATTCAGGGAGGGAGGGATGGAGGGAACAATAGATTAATCAAAGATTATGGGTGGATGTAAAGATGGATGGATGGATGAGTAGATCAATGGATAGAATTTTGAGTGGATGGATGGGTCATGCCTAGATGTATATATGCATGGATGGATGAATGGATGGATGAGAGAATGGACAGATAGATGGATGGATGAGAGGATGGATGGATGGATGGATGGATGGATGGATGAGTTCTCTTTGCATAGAATGCATGCAAAGAGAACTGTGTGCGTGGGTTATCATCAGTGTAGTAATTCCGTAGTCATGTCTGAAATGTGGGACAGCAGCACGTCCTCATTTTATCAGCTTCTTGGTGATGCATTCAGGTGCAGGTTTGCTGCTCAAACCTAAGGCTGAACAGCAGTGACAGTCAGAGGTGTTGCACAGTAATTTGGTCTCTCTGATTCATGTAGAACACTTTTCAGCTCAGTGTAAAACAGCTTATATTTCTGAGTTACCATCCTCAGGTGCTTCAGTTACATTCATGTTTGCACAATATTTTGCTTCTGGAATCAGCAGCTGCAATAACTCTGAAACAAATTTGAAGGTGTTAGTCCCTTCCTTGGTTTTGACTGGTCTGTGAGGGTGAAGTGACACTGATGAGCATTGCTGTGAAAAAACAGCCTCTTTTGAAAACTGAGAGGTCTTTCTGTTAGATTTAAGTTATGGCCCCGCATCATGACAATGATCAGATCAGCAGAACCCATTAAGTCTCTCCATACAAGTTGAGACAGCTGACCAGCACTGCCGTCTCTCCTCTGTTGAAGTCTGGAGGTCTTGGAGGAAGTAACAGAGGAAGTTTAATCCTGAAGTTGTATCTTCCCCCTCCAGCTGTTTTTTGTTTTTTACTTTCAGGGCGCATCCTTTATCAGTGCTGCTTGTTTTTCAGTCAGCAGTGGCATTTTGTTGTTGTTATGACCTCTGCCAAGGAGGTTATGTTTTTGGTAGCGTTAGTTTGTTGGTTGGTTTGTTTGTCTGTGGACAACTTTACGGAGAAAGTTACAGACGGATTGACCTGAAATTTTCACCAGAGGTGCGTCTCAGCCCCAGGACGATCCCATTACATTTTGGTGGTGATCCGGATTGCCTTCTGGAACCAGGAATTTTTTGAAGGATTCTTTGTCATTGTGAGATAGGGCAAATTTTGGAATTTTTGCATTTAACTCTATAAAAATGGCCTGAGTCTTTATTAAAAAATGACACAAAAGGATCTCAATGAGTTTTATGAGGTGTCAAAGGTTGATCCTGATCCAGACAAAATTCCAGATACTGTGATCCAGAACACACAAAAATAAGGGTGTTGTTGGAATTTTCAGTGCTGAAGGATAACCAATGGGTGGCACAGTGGTATAGATGGGCGGCACAGTAGTGTAGTGGTTAGCACTGTCACCTCACAGCAAGAAGGTCCTGGGTTCGAATCCGGGTCAGGGCATTTCTTGTTTTATGAACAGTGAACATACCAGTTTAAACACAAATAAAAACTAATAAAAGACACGTAACACTAAAAGTTTTGGTGTGAATCACAATATAACGGGGGACATGAGCTGCTTGAAGGAGGTCTGCACTCTCCGAGTGCTTTTCTAGTTGTTATTGTTATTGTTGTTGTGGGATTATTAAGCTGTGTGAAGAACATGACTGGTGACCAGAATCTGCAGTTTGGGGTTCCTGCACTGTGATGCCTCTCCGGCATTTCTGTTTTTTATATTTACAGTGTGCTTTAAAATAATTAAACTAGTATGTTTTGTAGTAAAAAAAAAATGACAGTTAAAAGGTTAAAAGTTGTTAAGAAATTCCTTTATTTTGACAGTCAAGCTGCTGGTCACCTCATTTCCTGTTAGGTCACAGGTATTGGTTAATTTCCTGTTTACAGTCCTTTTCTTCCTGGACAGAGAGGGAGGCAGACATGCTATGAAGCTATCCGTAGCCATCCACTTTGAAATATTGAAACTGCCTGTGAAACCTCCAGACCAAGCTGAGTCACAGGACAGTTTCCGGACATGGCTCCCACCTAAAACCATAAAAGTGATTCAACCTACTAGTAACAAAATTAAGCCTGGAAAAGAAGAAACACACTTACCTACACCAAATCTGTCCAAACTAAATAAAGTTGAATCAAAGACTGACATTAAAAGAATGACCTTTCCCACATCTACCCATGCCCGACCACACTCACCCCCACACATGCTTCGAGCTAGCACACGACTTGCCGCAGACCCTCTGGCACAGTATTTGGCACAACGAGATCTTGTTATGTTAGGTCTGTACCGATTTGATGATAAGCCGGAGAACTTCCGTGCATGGCAGTCCTCATTCACCAATGCAGAGGCTGAAGTCCAACTCACAGCAACACAAGAACTAGACCTCATGACCAACTGGTTGGGGAAAGAGTCCAGCGAGCAAGTAAGATGCATATGCTCAGTGCACATGAGCAACGCCTATTTAGCTCTACGCAAGGCATGGGAGAGACTGCTATGCCGCCCCTGAGATAATCGAGCAGTCACTGTTCCACAGACTGGACAGCTTTCCGAGGATTTCAGCCAAAGACCACACCAAATTACGCGAACTCTGAGACCTTCTCATGGAGATACTAGGAGCCAAAGAGGATGGATATCTCACTGGGCTGTTGTATTTAGATACCTCCCAAGGTATTAGACCAATCGTAGACAAGCTTCCATACGGACTCCAGGAAAAGTGGGTGTCATCTGGGTCATGGTACAAAGAAGAGAACAATGGTCGCTTCCCTCCCTTCCTCTATTTTTGTGACTTTGTGTGCCATGAGGCAAAGAAGCGAAATGACCCCAGCTTTATCCATCAAAGCAGTGGCCAAATCCTACAAAGCCAGAACGACTTCCTGTGAAGAGTTTTAACACAAACAGAGCAATCACAGTTCACAAAACAGAGGTCTCTACAAACCACAACGACCCAAACAAGAACTGCCTACTGCACGATAAACCACACCCACTCAAAAAATGTAGAACATTCAGACACAAATCCATTGACGAAAGAAAGGCTTTTCTAAAACAGAAAGGACTATGCTTCAAGTGTTGTTCTTCGACCTCACATGTAGCCAAAGACTGCAAATCTTCTGTGAAGTGTTCAGAGTGTGAAAGCACCTATCATGATGCAGCCATGCACCCTGGCCCACCGCTTCAACCCACCAAGGCTTCTCCACTGCAACAAAAGAACGTCGGGGAGGGAGAAGAATCTAACCTGACTGATGTTAGAACAAGTTGCACAGTAGTTTGTGGCCTAGGTCAGTGGAGTCGTTCCTGCTCCTGTCTGGCAAGAGTTACCACGAACATTCAAAGCACAAAGCTATCAAAGCTTATGTAATCCTGGATGACCAGAGCAACCGCTCTTTAGTGAGACCAGAGTTCTTTGAGCTGTTCAATGTGAGCACACAAGGTCAGGCAACAAATCAACGGACCACATAACGCTCCCTTTGCACAACGCCTAGATCTCGGCTGGGTGGTGATAGGAGAAGTGTGCCTAGGTGATGTACATAAGCCCACAGTTGACACATTCAAGACCCATGTGTTAGATGGTGGTCGCCATTCCATTTTCCAGCCTTGCACAAGTTTCATGCATGTCAAGGAAACACAAACAAGCTTCAGCCAGCTTAACAAATCCCTAGAGAAGATGCTCAGATGCACAGTGTTTGACCCATAGACTGTATATAAGATGGACAACGTGGTTCCGCCTTCTGCCTGTATACGGATTTGAAGCCAAAAAGCTCTTGGCAATTCCGGGTTTTCTCCACTTCCTTGAAACCAGAGCTGTGCAGTAGCGTTGTGCGCATTCGGCCGCGCAGTCGCCGAGAGTCCCTGTGATGACGCTCGGCTCAATCAGCGTATCCCCCCCGGAAAACCTACGCAGTCCCTGAACGCCCATAGGCTGTACCAGGTGTCAATCATAGAAAACATGAACCCCCTAATAACTTTTAAAAATGGAGCTGTACAGAAAAAAAAGGACTTGGGCACAAACCAGTCTTACAATAACTACATGTCAACATCACAAGCAGGAGGGAGAAAAATGTACACACGTGGACAAAATTGTTGGTACCCCTCAGTTAAAGAAGGAAAAACCCACAATTCTCACTGAAATCACTTGAAACCTACAAAAGTAACAATAAATAAAAATTTATTGAAAATTAAATAATCAAAATCAGCCATTACTTTTGAATTGTTGATTAACATAATTATTTAAAAAAACAAACTAATGAAATAGGGCTGGACAAAAATGATGGTACCCATAACTTAATATTTTGTTGCACAACCTTTTGAGGCAATCACTGCAATTAAACGATTTCTGTATTTGTCAATGAGCGTTCTGCAGCTGTCAACAGGTATTTTGGCCCACTCCTCATGAGCAAACTGCTCCAGTTGTCTCAGGTTTGATGGGTGTCTTCTCCAAATGGCATGTTTCAGCTCCTTCCACAGATGTTCAATGGGATTCAGATCTGGGCTCATGGAAGGCCACTTTAGAATAGTCCAACGCTTTTCTCTCAGCCATTCTTGGGTGTTTTTGGCTGTGTGTTTTGGATCGTTGTCCTGTTGGAAGACCCATGACCTGCGACTGAGACCAAGCTTTCTGACACTAGGCAGCACATTTCTCTCCAGAATGCCTTGATAGTCGTCAGATTTCATTTTACCTTGCACACATTCAAGACACCCTGTGCCAGATGCAGCAAAGCAGCCCCAAAACATTGCTGAGCCTCCTCCATGTTTCACCGTAGGGACAGTGTTCTTTTCTTCGTATGCTTGGTTTTTGAGTCTATGAACATAGAGTTGATGTGCCTTACCAAAAAGCTCCAGTTTGGTCTCATCTGTCCAAAGGACATTCTCCCAGAAGCTTTGTGGCTTGTCAACATGCATTTTTGCAAATTCCAGTCTCGCTTTTTTATGATTTTTTTTCAGCAGTGGTGTCCTCCTTGGTCGTCTCCCATGAAGTCCACTTTGGCTCAAACAACGACGAATGGTGCGATCTGACACTGATGTACCTTGGCCTTGGAGTTCACCTTTAATTTCTTTGGAGGTTGTCCTGGGCTCTTTGGATACAATTCGAACGATCTGTCTCTTCAATCTGTCATCAATTTTCCTCTTGCGGCCACGTCCAGGGAGGTTGGCTACTGTCCCTTGGGTCTTGAACTTCTGAATAATATGAGCCACTGTTGTCACAGGAACTTCAAGCTGTTTAGAGATGGTCTTATAGCCTGCACCTTTAAGATGTTTGTCTATAATTTTTTTTCGGATGTCCTGGGACAATTCTCTCCTTCGCTTTCTGTTGTCCATGTTCAGTGTGGTACACACCTTTTCACCAAACAGCAGAGTGACTACTTGTCTCCCTTTAAATAGGCAGACTGACTGATTATGAGTTTGGAAACACCTGTGATGTCAATTAAAGGACACACCTGAGTTAATCATGTCACTCTGGTCAAATAGTTTTCAATCTTTTATAGAGGTACCATCATTTTTGTCCAGCCCTATTTCATTAGTTTGTTTTTTTTAAATAATTATGTTAATCAACATTTCAAACGTAATGGCTGATTTTGATTATTTAATTTTCAATAAATTTTTATTTATTGTTACTTTTGTAGGTTTCAAGTGATTTCAGTGAGAATTGTGGGTTTTTCCTTCTTTAACTGAGGGGTACCAACAATTTTGTCCACGTGTGTATGTTCTGTGTAATAAATTTCTAAAGTTTGTCCACAGTCCCATAAGCTTTGCTGGCGGAGGCGGGATTTATGATCTATACTGCAGCCCACCATCAGAGGGTGCTGTTCTCGGAGTGGCTTCACCCAGCGAGGAGGCAGACTCTGTCCATCTTATATACAGTCTATGGTTGGACCAAACCAAACATGATAACAAACCTGCTCCGTCAATAGAAGACGTTCTCTTTCTGAAGATCATGGACACCAACGTCCACAAAGACGACGCTCAGAACTGGGTCGCCCCGTTAACCTTCAAGGAGCCACGTGAGCGCTTGCCAAATAACAGAGAGCATGCAGTCAATCCCTGCAACGACAATTCAAGAGGAACCCTAAGATGCAGGAACAATACGTGTCGTTCATGGAGAAGATCTTCGCCAACCGTCATGCAGAAGTTGCGCCGCCATTGGAGCCAGACGAGGAGTGCTAGTATCTTCTGTCGTTCGGAGTATACCACCCACAGAAGCCCAATCAAATCGGGGTAGTTTTTGATTCCAGCGCCCAGTGCTCCGGCGTCTCCCTCAATGACGTGCTTCTGACAGGTCCTGACCTTAACAATTCTCTCCCAGGGGTTCTTCTATGTTTTCGGAAGGAGAGAGTCGCTTTCCTAGCCGACATTCAACAAATGTTTCATTGTTTTCTGCTACATGAGAACCATCGCAACTTCCTTCGTTTTTTGTGGTATGAGGATAACGACCTCAGTAAGCCGATTAGCGTTTAACACATGAGAGTTCATGTTTTTGGCAATTCGCCATCTCCTGCTGTAGCCATTTATGGCCTGCGAAGAGCCATCGCTGAAGGCTCCCAGAAATATGGACCTGACACAGTGAAGTTTGTGGAGACATTTTTATGTAGACGATGGCTTGCTGTCCTTGCCATCTGAAGCAGAAGCAATCGATCTTCTCCGTCGAACTCAGGCTTCACTTGCCGAATCAAACCTTTGCCTGCATAAGTTCATGTCGAACAACCCAATTGTCATTGGAGCTTTCCCACCCGAGGACTGTGTTCCAGTTGTCAAGGATCTGAGCGGAGAAACAGCACCCATGCAGCGGAGCTTGGGCCTGCTATGGGAGATCAAGTCAGACACATTCACGTTCTCTGCATCCACTATTGTCAAACCTTTCACCCGAGTCCTCTCTACTGTCAACAGCGTTTTTGATCCCCTGGGTTTGTTGGCACCTGTCACGATCCAGGGAAGAGCCCTCCTTCGGGAACTTACCTCAGAGCTATCTGACTGGGATAAACCCCTACCAGAGGACAAGCTGAAGAAATGGGAAACCTGGAGAGATTCTCTTCAAGTCTTAAAGGAGCTGCATGTACCACGCACCTACACCCCAACTTCACTCCTCACCACTGTGCACACAGAATTGTGTGTGTTCTCAGATGCTTCGACTAAGGCGATCAGAGCCGTCGCTTATCTGAGAGCACTTCAAGAGGACGGAGAAGTTGAAGTGGGTCTGGTTATGGGCAAAGCCAAGTTAGCGCCTCAGTCGGAACCCACAATCCCACGCCTTGAACTCTGCGCCGCCGTTCTTGCTGTAGAGATGGCAGATCTCATCCAAGAGGAGCTCGATCTGAAACTGGATGCTATCAGATTCTACACGGACAGCAAGGTGGTGCTCGGGTATATCTGTAACACAACAAAACGCTTCTATACATACGTCCACAACAGAGTTCAACGCATCCGACAATCTTCTACACCAGAACAATGGCACTACGTACGCACAGAAGAAAACCCTGCAGACCATGCATCAAGATCTTTGCCTGCATCCCATCTTGCACAGAGTTCTTGGTTCACGGGGCCTTCATTCCTGCGTCAGCCATCTGTCGAGACAACAATACAAACTAGTGGGACGTTTGAGCTCATTGAACCGGAAAAGGATTCAGAGATCCGACTACAGGTTCGTACCTGCGCTACTTACATGGAGGAACCTGGACTCACCTCTGACCGCTTTCAGCACTTTTCTACTTTCAACTCTCTACTACGAGCAGTAGCGTTCCTCAGCCACATGGCAAGATCTCACAAACATAATAACAAAAACAGTGAGTGCTCAGGATGGCACAGATATCACTTACCTCCTACTGTGGAAGAGATGACTCAAGCCAAAGATGTTATTCTTCAAGCTGCACAAAGGTCAACCTTTACAAGAGAGCTCTCAGCCCTTCAAGATGACAAAGCGGTGCCATCAAACAGCCCTTTGCACAAGCTCAGTCCAACTTTAGAGGGCCACCTCATCTGCGTTGGAGGCAGATTGAAACACTCTGAGCTTACAGTTCAAGAGAAGAACCCAGTAATCCTAGCTAAAGACAGTCACATCTCCCTACTGCTTGTACATCATCATGAGCAAGTGAGACATCAAGGTTGCCGTCTCACCGAAGGTGCAGTAAGGGCAGCTGGGCTGTGGATTTTGGGTGGCAAGAGACTTATTAACTCAGTCCTCCACAAATGCATACCCATCATACACCCACAGCTATCATCAACGCGCGACCGCTCTTACCTGTGTCTACAGACCCTCAACAACCATTCATTCTTTCACCCGCGATGCTTCTCACACAGAAGTCAGGGGTTCCACCGCCTCATGGAGAATTCACGGACAAGGATCTTTACACAAAGCAATGGAGGCAAGTTCAAGCGCTCGCAAACCAATTTTGGACTCGCTGGAGACAAGAATACTTACCGTCTTTGCAACAAGGACAAAAATGTACTTTGCCATGCAGAAACCTTCAAGTCGGAGATCTGGTACTCCTCAGGGATTAACAGACTGTCCGTAACTGCTGGCCCATGGCAATAGTCACCGAGACCTTCCCCGGAAAGGATGGACATGTCAGAAAGGTCGAGATAAAAACCACTGACCAAGGTGATGCAAGAATCTTTCTAAGGCCAGTTGCAGAAGTAGTCCTGCTTCTGCCTAAGGACTAATTGGACTAAGACTAATGTCTCAGACCCTGCAAGTTCATAGTGGCCTCACATAGGCCAGACGGGGAGTGTGATGCCTCTCAGGCATTTCTGTTTTTTATATTTACAGTGTGCTTTAAAATAATTAAACTAGTATGTTTTGTAGTTAAAAAAATGACTGTAAAAAAGTTAAATGTTGTTAAGAAATTCCTTTATTTTGACAGTCAAGCTGCTGGTCACCTCATTTCCTGTTAGGTCACAGGTATTGGTTAATTTCCTGTTTACAGTCCTTTTCTTCCTGGACAGAGAGGGAGGCAGACATGCTATGAAGCTATCCGTAGCCATCCACTTTGAAATATTGTATAGGCAACGCCGTAAGTTTGCACATTTCATGTTTAAGGTTTTAAAAAATGATAAATATGGTTAGTTGCTACAAATATATAATTTATGTGTAATTAAAAAGGACATTTTGCCTACCCTGTTTACGCATAAAAAAACAGCTTACAGCTTTGTCAATTCATGTATTTCAGTTATTTAAAATATTATTTCTTCTGTATTTCTGCAGTTTTCACCGTCATGTCCAATGTCATTGAAGACCATTGAGTATTAAAGGTCAACTCCACCACGACTCGTCTTTTATTTGACTCGGTTTAACTCGGTGTTAAACCAGAGTTGCTACACTCTGAGTGAGAACACTACATGCACTTTGGTGTGTAAGGACTATGTTTGATTTGTGGTCGGGCTGCAGGCACTTGGTGGTTTTGTTTGAGGACCAAACCCTTTTAATGGAAGGGAGCTGGGGGGTGAGGGCAATTGTGTGTGTGTGTGTGTGTGTGTGTGTGTGTGTGTGTGCGTGCGTGCGTGCTGGGGGGGTCTGTCCTTGAACTGCAGCAAACCCAACTACACATGGGTTTCATTGTAGACTCATGGGTTTCATCAGCCAGGGTTCAATCCAGAGGAGAATGCTGCAGCTCCGACATGACAGATCTGACATGTACCATAAATACAGATGTCTGCAGGGCGTGCGTGCGGGTGGGTGTGTGTTTTTCGGCCATTGTGGGGACCAAGTTCAGCTTTGAACCATTGTGGTGGAACATTCAGAAATTGGATTACAACCTGGTTTAAGGTCAGCAGGTATGGAGCTAGTTTACCAGAGAGACATCAGGACCTGGTGAAAGGACAGGACCGCACCAGCCTATGTGTGTGTAACTATAAAGGAGCCCATTACCAACTTTCACACAACACACACTCACAGGATTTAAATACATATGCACAGTCTGCACACACACACACACACACACATGCACACTGCTGCTGAAACTGACCAGCTTCAAACTGATCATGTGATCAGGTGATTTTGATCAATACTCTTAATGCTCTATAGTATGGGTCAGTAGAGCAGCTGTGATCAGCAGCACAGTGTAGATACTGTCTGCTGCCATAGTGCTGCAACCCTGCAGTGAAGTCAGGCAATTAATAAACGACTGTGCTTCCTGGAGACTGAGGACACTGTGAGGTTTGATAAAGCTGAACCTGTGTCGTATTATAATGTGATGAGAGCTTAATGTGCCTGCAGAGCCAGGCCCGCAGCAAATGTGAGTAAGAACATCAGGAGTTTCAGCAGGATGGTGGCAGTGGGCCTCATGTTAACAAACAAGCAGTGATGGATTTTTAAAACCAATAATAATAATAATAATAATAATAATAATAATAATAACTGTGATTTTTTTGGACAGCAAATATCTTTCAGGGATTTATAACTGCTGATAAATGACCCGTTCATATTTAAAGTGACTCGTTATTTTATCTGATCAACTCAGACACAGCGTCTGAGTATGTGTAAAACCTGCTAGAGCAAAAAAAATTGTGAGATCCTCTGCACTGGCTGACTGAGGGTGAAACAGTGAGCAGTGTGGATGTTTCTCCTCAGTTCAGAGGAGAACATGACTAACCTGAGGTGGGTCTGTCATCATAAAGCATCAGAGAGCCTCCTGTCTCTCCGTGGACAGATTTCATGAACCTCTGTCGCCACTCCTCCTGCAGCCATTAGAGGGCGCTGTCTCTCGAATGTAGACCTGTATCATGTTGTGCTGTTTGCAGCAACGAGAAAAGTTGTCAGGGGAAAACACCAAAAGTGTGAGAGAGTCTTTGAAGTGGAGAAACCAACAGCTCACATGGATGGGGTCATGATCAAATCAAAGATGTTCCCACATGACCTCCTGTAAGTGGAGACTGTAAAACACATCAGCAGCACATCCCTGTCCTCCTGTCGTTTCTCCATCAAATGTGAGTTAGAGCTCATAAATCTGAGTAGCAGTAGGGCTGAGTTTCCTCCAGACAGCCCTGAGTTGTCTGCATCACCAGCACTTCACATTTTAGGAGCCACATGAATATAATGTCGTTCAAAGAGAGGGGCTGAATGCAAACATGTCCATTTCTCTGCAAATAGCAGTGTGGTACCTGCTATTGCATGTGTCCAGTCATTTGCGACTTAAATGGTTTCAATTCAGTGCTAATGTTATTCTGTCAGAGGACAGAAAAGGCCCAGTCGCTCTTTTTCAGGGGTCATCAATCATTTATTATAACCACAATCCATCAGCCAATCCTGGTAATTACTGATTACAAGCAGCCAGTCATGTGGCGGGGCCAGGGAAACACACACACACACACACACACACACACACACACACACACACACACACACACACACACACACACACACACTGTTCCACAGATGTCATGTCAGGAATCAGAAACACATTTACACATTAGAGGGTCTGAAACATGCTCTGTGACTCCCCCTCCTCTTACAGAGGTGCTACTTAACACACTTCAGAATGATCAGAAATTCAAATGAGCTTTGCAGGCGCTGGCAGGAACATAATAAACCCTCCAATTATTCTATCAAAACAGGCCGCCACACACGTATGCACGCACACACACACATACACACAGTTCAGCCTGTCTCCAACACTACCCTGCACTTTCAGGCGTTTTTCACGTCTCCACACAGGACTGTCAGAGCAGAGAGTACAAGCATATTCAGTTTGTGTTTACATCACTCCTAACACCTCAATACACATTCACACTTCATTATATATTTCACTGTAATTTCATAACAACTCTACCATAAACCAGGTATAGTTCTACATAACATCTTTTCATAGAAACTGAATTATTTTCCCATGCATTGTAAAAATCATGTGTGAACATGTGTGACCTGAATTTACAGACGATATCAAAGAGAAAATGGATCAAAGACAACAAATAAAATATATCTGCTCATTTTATGTTTGTAAAAAGTTGCTTCTGGTTCATGTTTTTCACCATGTGTCCTCAGCTCTTCTTTTACCAACCCTCTGTAAACCTTGGTGACTCCAGCAGGCCAGGGGCCTCATGTATCAACACTTGCGTGGGACTCATACCAGAAACGAGCGCACGCAAGGTCCGTCACGCTGAAAAAAATCCGTATGTATCAAGGTGTGCGGGCGCCGAAAGCCACGTGTGTTTCGTTGATAAATCCCAATCAGCTTGGAATTGAGCGCAAATATCGGAGCGACCGGGCCCGCCCCCGTTACGCCCTCCTATAAATATGCAGATTTATTTAAATAGGGTCTCCCTGTCCTCGCACGCAGACAAAATGACAAGAAAAACTAAATTTACGGCGTGCGAGGTGGAGGTGCTGGTGGCGGAGGTGGAGGAGCGACAGCGTGTTTTGTTTGGCAGCCTGTCCAGTGGCGTCAGTGCAAAACGAAAATACTTGGAGTGGGAGAAAGTTTGCGAGAGGGTGAATGCGGTGGGTTCCGAGACACGCACCCCTGCGGAGATAAAAAAAAAAGTGGTCGGACCTAAAGGTGGAGGTCAAGCGGCGTACAGCTGCCCTCCGGAGGAGTACCGGCCAGACAGGTGGGGGTCCGGGGGAGGAGACCCTCACGCCGTTTGAGCAGCGGGTGGTGGCGATTATTATTATAGGGTAAGTGGCGTGTCACACAAATGTCCACATGCTTTGCCATCCCACTGAGCAAAAGACGTATATTAGACGTCTAGTCTAAGTTTATACTTCATTTCAACGTGGATTCCGTCTATTTTTAGACTTGATTTATACTTCGCCCTTAACTTCATTTTTCGATAACTTTTTATGCAATAAACAACTGTAATGTGCATAACTGACCTCTAAATACTGGATTACATTACCTATGATACCGTGGAGAGAGATGTAAACGCAACAGATACACAGAAGCAGGAATTGAAATGAACCAATATTTTTATTGTGTCACAGAAATCAATGTGGCGGCCGTGTCGCCGGCTTGCGGAACCCCGGCCCGCGGCAGCCCGTCCGCCGGCTCGGAGTCGTCGGCCAGGACCAGTGGCATTCGGGTCACCCCGGCCCCCGGCACCAGCATCAGCACCAGCGCGCCGACAAGCGGTGGAGCGTCCACCAGCCGCGGCGCTTCCGCTGGACCAGCCGCGGCGCTTCCGCTGGACCACCCGGACGCAGTGGAAGGGTCCTCACGAAGGCGGTCCTGCAATCGCAGGAAGAAATCATCAGGGGGATCGCGGGGATCAACGAGCGGCTGGACCGGCTCGTAAATGTCCTCGAGCGTCTGGTGGCGAAAATAAATTAATTTGGCTCATTGAACTGTGTATTCACTTCTTACCCATTCACACTGTGGCGATGAGATTCTCCCGCGCGAGGACGGCGGCCCGGCAGGGATCAGCTCGCATCCCTCCGTCTGCTGCTGGTTCGTCATGTGAGGCGACATGCTGCTTGGCCACGGGGATGTGGTGCACGCTTGTCACATAGTGAGTCACTAAACACCGCCACACAGCGTCGCCAAAGTGCCGTCAACGCAAGTATCGGCTCAACGCCAACTTCTACACCACCTCCTCACTTTGCGTTGATTAGCACTGGAACCGACGCTCGTTTCGCGATGATAAATCTGGACGTGTGCGCCGATCTTTGCGGACGCAAGGTTTTCTGGCGCCGCCAGCGTTGATACATGAGGCCCCTGGTTCTGGAGTCTGGCAGTCAAATATTGTCCCATTCTTGACTGTTCAGCATTAATGGAGCCTTCACAGATGTGGAAGACACCCAAGACATGGACTCTGATGATCCCTATACCATCAGGGATGCTGTATTTGGACTGGGAGCTGAGAACAAGCCGAGAGGACTCTCCACTCTTTAGAGAGAAGGGTGCAGAGTACATGATTTCCAAAAAGACTGTAAGACTTTGGTCAGACCCCAGGACAGAATTCATCTCCCCTCAGCCCACCTTGAATCTGCTCAGGTCCAGAGAAGTCTCTGGTGTTTCTGGATCCTGTTTCTATCTGGTTTCCTTTTTCATGGTTCAGTTCGAACCTCATTTTGTATATGCAGTGATGAACTGTGTTCACTGATGATGGTTTCTGAATCCATGTCAGCACATATTTTTTCACAAAACAACACACCATTCCTGCTCTTTTCCAAACAGAATAAAAGCGTTTAAGGATTTTCAAACATCAAATTATGGATTTCATTAAAGTTTTACAGAGTGTCCCAACATTTAATGGGATTACAATAAGAGAAGTTAAAATATTTAGTAATTTAGACTAAAGAATGCGCAATGTTAAATTTATAGATAAAACAACCTTTTTTTTTTTTTTTTTACGTCATACTGTGTATTTGTTGCTCTGTGGTTTCATTGTGTTTGCTGTTGGATTGGCTAATTTTTAAACACTGTTAAACATCATAATGTAAGAAAGTATTTCATGGACTCTGGCTTTGATCTTGGATCTGCAGAAAAAGAGGCTGTGCAACGATGTTGAGGTCTTCATCCTTAGCTGCTCTGCTGTAATGAAAAACTAGAAAAGCACTCGGAGAGCGCAGACCTCCACCAAGCAGCTCATGTCCCCCCTTATATTGTGATTCACACCAAAACTTTTACTGTTATGTGTCTTTTATTAACTTTTATTTGTGTTTAAACTGGTATGTTCACTGTTCATAATGTTCCTTAAACAAGAATTGCCCTGACCTGGATTCGAACCCAGGACTTTCTTGCTGTGAGGTGACAGTGCTAACCACTACACTACTGTGCCACCCATCTACATTCCTGTGCCACCCATTAGTTATCTTTCAGCATTAAAAATTCTAACGACACCCTTATTTTTGTGTGTTCTGGATCACAGTATCCGGAATTTTGTCTGGATCAGGATCAACCTTTGACACCCCATAAAACTCATTGAGATCCTTTTGTGTCATTTTTTACTAAAGACACTGGCCATTTTTATAGAGTTAAATGCAAAAATTCCAAAATTTGCCCTATCTCACAATGATAAAGAATCCTTCAAAAAATTCCTGGATCCAGAAGGCGATCCGGATCACCACCAAAATGTAATGGGATCGTCCTGGGGCTGAGACGCACCTCTGGTGAACATTTCAGGTCAATCCATCTGTAACTTTCTCCGTACAATTGTTCACAGACAAACAAACAAACAAACAAACAAACCAACAAACTAATGCTACCGAAAACATAACCTCCTTGGCGGAGGTAAAGAAGAACAGGAATGGTGGGACAGTCATTGTCCTCTCTCTGAGGTCAGATAACCTCTCTCTCTCTCTCTCTTTCTCTCTCTCTCACTCTCTCTTCTCTCACTCACTCCAATGACTATCAGCCTACCTCGTCCACCTCCATCAGTCTGATAAATACCAAGTGTGATGGCACAGCACCAAGACTTAGGGCAGCAGGGGAAGCAGAGTGCGGTGCGGCCCTGAAACGGAACCAGATTGTTGAGGTCTGGGAGGTATTATCTAGCCAGCACCTGGTCTGCATGGGTCCTGCTCCTCTGTGTAACTCAATCTAAAAGCTTAACTCTGTGGAGCTACTGGCAAAGGTCCCCATTAATCCAGTGCAGGTGCCAAACAGCCCATCCACCCGCTGCAGGGGCAGCTCACGCTACAGTATCTGTTTGAGCAAACCTGAGATTTAATTTTAATTTGCATATGTGCTGAATAAAATCAGAAGAAAACAGAGAATAATGTCGTCAAACAAGGGGACACCAGGAGAAGGGAAATGATTCAACAGAAAGATGCAGATCCTTAAAAGAGATGGAAGTCCTCTGAGGGACTGAGAAGAGACAATGACCCACCTAAACTCCCCGCTCACTGCTGGCCTGGGAGATTAGAGCTGATTGTAACAGTGCTGCTATTGTGATTTATAAATAATTTGACAGA